GACCCCTCCCACTGTTTACACCTCCCTACCCCTCCTGCTAAATTATGACCAGTCCTTTATTCTCGTAAAAGAACACGTACAGAACACTTGACAAGACTTGACCCTTTTAAAGGTGGTTGGGGTGGGGGGGGGGGGGGGGGGGGGGGGGGTGAGAGGTGTGAATAGGCGTATACAAATGGGCCGATCCGCCCAAATTTAAAGCAAAATCCGCCGTCCGACAACGGTCTTGTGTCTAGACTTGGATCCGTTAAAAGATCTACGCTCAAATCGCGCAATACAGGATCCGACGTCATTGTAAGCAATCTTCACAATCTGAGCCAACATATTAGATAAATCCGCAATCCGCCGTACTAACTTGTGCGAAAATCCGTGTAATCCAATTTTTTTGGCGGAATCCGACGATCCTAAAACCTCCCCTCCCCTCTTTAAAAAGCAGATATATTAATTTTCAAATATAGTGTCTGTTATTAGTCATTTCCCAATCAAGCATAGGACTGGGTATAGTTGATGTTTGGTGGGACGTTTGGAGGGACAACAAGTTATAGTGAGCGAGCTAAATATATATACAGTATATATATATATATATATATATATATATATATATATATATATATATATATATATATATAAAGCTTCAAATTGAAAATAAATTTTATTAAACTTCAAATAAATAAATACATGTTGTAAAGATAAAGATACGTTTCGGGGCACAGCCCCTTCGTCAGAAACGAGATAAGTTCAAATCCATGTCCTTAAATATTTTTGGCCTAATCCTAAGTAACATACACTAATAATATATATAGACTTGCATTAATATTCCTCCCTCAAATTTAATCCCAGTGGTATATATGTATTCAATTTTTCAATCCAAAAACTTTCCCTCTCTGTAGGTTTATTAACATCCGTGATATCAATAATATGTGCTTTAAAATCATTAAGACCCGAATGGCCCTCCTCAAAAAAATGTTCATACAAATGTTGACCACATAAACCTCTTTGGCCCTTAGAAAATCTATTAAGCGAACTCTTGTGGTTATTAAATCTAAGACGAAATGACGTTACCGTATTGCCCACGTATTGTTTATTACATTTTCCGCAAGTAATTAAATAAACCACCCCCTGAGAGTTACAATCAAAGTGATGGTTAATGTGAAACGTGCGCCGTTGTACTGTACTTTGAAAAGTATCCGCTACCACGATGGAATCACAAACCTTGCACTTTTCCCCCCCACATTTAACCATCCCTCTAGCTGCACGGGGTAGTAATTTTAGTAATCTTTCCTCAGAGGAACAAGAAGCACTTAAAAATTTAAAGAAGTATCGGGATATTGTTATTAAGGAGGCAGATAAGGGTGGGGCTGTAGTTGTGTGGGGAAGGAAGGATTATTACGATGAAGCTTATAATCACCTTAATGATCAGCAGGTATATGAGGTTACTGAGTCAGATCCCTTGGATACGGTTAATTCTTTAGTAGAAAAAACGTTGGATCCTTTGGTGTATAAAGGATATATATCTTTGGCCAATAGAAAATATCTAGTGGTTTCCAAAC